CCTCCGACAGCGCGGCGCTCCCTCGGCGCCGACCCTCCGACAGCGCGGCGCCGACCCTCTGTTCTCTGTCAGCCCTGGATGAGGGTCAGTCTGCGTAGGAACTGCAGTGATATTTTGAACAAAAACCGAAAGAACTGCAGATGCTGCAAATCAGAAACAAAAACAAATTGCTGGAAGAGCTCGGCAGGTCTGGCAGCGTCTGTGGAGAGAAATCAGGGTTAACGTTTCGGGTTGGCTTCTGCAGAAGGATCCCTGGAGTTGGAAGGTTACTTCTGTTTTCTGTCCACAGATCCTGTATGTCCGTCAGTTTCTCCTGGTCTGGCAGCACTTGTCCCTGTGCTGGGAGCTCTCACGTTCTTAGTGCTGTCCTTCCACCCCCCCCACCCCCTGCACTGTGCCATCTTCCCCCCCCCCCCCTCCACCAACCCTGTGCACCCTGCCCCGTTACTGGTTAAATACCTGTTCCCTGTTTAACCACCACCTGTAGGGTTTCGATCCGTCCCAAAGGGAGAAGTTTGAGCCCAAGCGGAAGATGAAAGGCAGGAGTTCAGCGAAAAGTATCGAGAGACGGAAAAGGAAGGTGGCTGTCGCTGAGCAGAGGGTGAGTGTCTGTTCAGAGAGGGTCACGCCAGCCCCTCCCCAGTGGAGGGTGGGATTTAGTGACAACGGGGTGGGGAGAGGAGTCAGAAAGGGAGGGAGGTCAGTGAGGGAGGGGGGGAGGGGTCAGAGGGGGGGGGGGGGGGAGGGGGGGGGGGGGGGGAGGGGGGGGTGGGGGGTGGGAGGGGGGCCGGGGGGGGGGGGGGTCAATGAGAGTGTGAGGGCAGATCAGGGTGGTTAATGACAGACAGTTAGGAGCAGGGAAGAGGTGTTCAGTAAGAGAGGGATGGGAAGGGGAGATTCAGTGAGAGGGCGAGGGGCATTGAGGAGGAGTCTCAATGAGGGAGGGGCAGGGGCTCAATCGGGGAGTCAGTCAGTGAGTGAGGGAGGGGTAGGGGGACAGGTGGGGCATCAGTGAGGGGGGGAGAATGGGCAGGGGAAGGGGTGTCCG